TAATATCTGCTAAAGTGCTTCGCCATGTAAAATGTAAGGTAGAGATAGTTGTGACCCTTCAGGAGTAATTCTAGCTGACACATCTGTCTCTGAGGCACAACAGGTTTCTTAGAAAACCCTGGGAGAGGCGCACTAGCCTTAGTGTGGTTGTAGGCAGAGATTTTTGGGAGAAGACTGAAGTGTTCCTCCTTTTTTCCTCTCCTGCAAGACTGGAAATGATTTCCTTGATTCTTTTGTCAATCTGTTCTCTTTCCTCTAGAGATGTGAATTCCTAACTATTTTCAGTAAGGTAATTATCAGAAACAGTGCAGGTGAGAGTGAAAGCATATGCAACTTGGGATATTCAGGGGAGGTATGTTGACTGGTGTTTGGATCAAATTCTACTATCTTGAATGAATTATTCTTGGAATTTTTTCCCTTACAATTCTGCAATTTCTACCTGACAGGATAAAGTAAGTCACTATTTTCCAACATATCTGGGTATCATTTTGAAGTATCTGTGTTCTGACCTGTCATGTTCGGAGAGAAGATAGCTCTGCTTCACATGCTAGCTTGCAGGTCTGAGATGTGATTCTTCGGCTTCCACATGATTGAGTGCAGGATGAAAGTCACAAAGGGAGGAAAAGTGAGCCAGTGGGAAAATCAGATGTTTATTAGTGTGTTTTTATGGTTAAGGGGGCAGGGGTTTGGTAGATGTGGTTTTCTCAGAATAGCAATGACACCCATGTTTCAACACAGCTTATTTCACCAAGCATATATCGTTTTCACAGTTTGCTATTTTGTTTATGTGCCACCTTGTTTCTTTTTGTTTGGTTGACCATCATAGATGGAAAGATTTGGCGAAGAGGATTTGAATCGTTAATTTGGCATGGCTCTCATTTTTATATTATGGCAGGCACCCACTAAGAGCTCTCAGGTAAATCATGTTTTGCTTGGAAAGCAAAGTTTTTAAGAAATTGTATCTGAATGCCTTGAGTGGAGTGTATGCTCCCTGTTTTATACCCAACTGTCTTATAAAAATATGCTCTCTGTCTGAATCTTATAGGCATTTGAGTTTTCAGGTACTTAGCCCATAAAACCAAAAGGATTTTATCATCAGTCTTTGTTGCTAACTCTGCTGCTTTTCAGCAGATAAAAGTGCTAAATAATTGATAATAAAACTTTTCCAGACAACTTTTTTTTTTCTTTTCTTTTTTTAGGCTACATGTAGTTCAATTTGTCAAACCTTTTGGAAATCAACAACAGAAAGGCTATAATGTGAGCCCTTTGACCCGGAAGCATCCCACATTTCACCTTGTGTTGCTTTGGAGTACGTGAAAGATACGAGTATGGCAGTGGATGACACAGAAAATAAAGAAGGGCATAGCAGAAATATGTTTAAACTATCAGCTCTTCCTTTTTCTCTCTATAATAGAGTTTTAAAATAAGTCAAATACATATTTTAATTGATAAACTGACTTTATATTCACCTATTGGAAACAGTACAACATATTTTACATCAGATTATGAAATATGGATGTTTTACTAAAAGACAGGAAGAGTTGTTCCCAGTCTTTAAAGTAAATACATATTCAAAGGATCTTAAGGCATACCATTTATTCATATTCATATCTATTGAAATACTGTACATCCACATACTTCAATAAATAGTTAAAAACCTGACCTCTTTTTAAATCATTTCTAAATTTCAAAAAACAATTTTTATTGAAAAGATTAAATAGGTAACTTTTGGCTGTGTCACAAAGCTAAGCACAATGGATAAATTAACAATTATTCAATAAATTGAATCAATATAGATGATTGGCTTTGATAAATTTCTCAGTTTTCTCAGTTCACACATTGGGGTATTTATATATATGTATTTTGTCCTGAATTATCTGGGTAATTTTCCCAGTTCTCCAGTCTACTTTCTAGATATAGTTTACATGTTATGATGAAGCATTAAATTTTCAGTTAAGTTTTAAATCCCCCAAAGTAGTTTCAAGTTTGACTTTCACTTTCTCAAATCTTTTAGAGTCCCCCCAAATACAAAATGCTATAATTTGGGTAGTACTTTTTGTTATATAATTGCTGCATAATAGGAACTTCATGGTGTAACAGGACTTATGTTTTGAATGAGATCACTATAAAACATAATTACACCATTGGCAATGAAATCAAGAATGTAAATGAATTAAGTCAACTACCCTAATATTCCAGTTCTTCCTCCCTCCCTCCTGTTCTCCCTCCTTTCCTCCCTCCCATCCTTCACCTCTCCCACCCTCCCTTCCTTCTCCCTTATTTCCCCACTGTCTTTACCTCCTTCTCTTTTTTATCTTTTTCTTTTCTTTCTACTCTCCTTTCTCAACTACTTTTTATTTTTCTTTCTTTGAAAAACATTCAGGGGCAACAAAAGAAATCCCACAAATGTAATTTGTGGAAATTAATGCTAAAATGAATAGCCAGAAAAAAAAAATCATACATCAAAAGGTAAAACAATTTCATAAAACTGCTATTCTGAAATTGCAACAATCTTGTACAGTCAGGACTGATAAAATGAAGTAATCAGACGTTTCATATGTCCATAAATGTAAAATCATCTACTTGAACATTATATGCAATACATTCACACAAAAAAGCAAATACTGTAGCCTTATTTGAACAATATTGAACTCATAAATACTCATGATTTCACTCTGTCCAGGGGCCTAAGGACTAGGAATGCTGCTGTGATACAGAAAAACATAGTGAATACCTCCTCTATTTAAAAATGTCACTCAAGAACGTCTCTTCTAACATAAAGGCAAATACATATAGCTACTGAGCTATGACTGTACTTCTGTCACATTCTATGGTAATAACACCAGACTCCACAAATTCGGAATCATGACAACACTTTGAACTAATTATTTGGTTCATCCATAGTTTATATCTCGATTTACCTCACATTTACCCTACAAACCTTACAAAGAGGAGGTACTTTTAACTCTAGGAAAGCGGTCACTGTATAATATGCATTCTTGATCTGTTTCTTTCTCCCAAACAATGGTACTGATGGTTAACCCTTTTGTGGTAGCACCACTATTTCTAGTAAGTAGATTATTATGGAGTGTGCCACTTTAAAGCTGCAATACAAAAAAATATTTTATAATTTACTCACAAATTTCACAAAGAATATATTTTTAAAAGCAAGTAAATAATCAAAGTTGAAATGCTGTATGAATTTTTCTAAAAAAAAAACATTTTAATACATCAGTCAAAGTGATGTAATAAATTATTACAGTGAGTAAATTTAATAGGATTATACCATATTATTGCCATTTTTTAAAAACATTGTATATTTATGCTTCCTCACTTAGGATTCATTTTTTTTAAATTGAAATAGATTTGTGGTATATTTTGGGACTAAATTTTACTTGGGGAAAAAATCACAATTTTCAAGTTATCTCTTTCTGAGTAAAATATCAGATACCTTAAATATGTATAATTTTTGTGAAATGTCTTGTATCTAACTTTATTAATACTTTTTTGTTGTTTTTATGACTTGCAAAGGGGGCTATTTGCAGAATCTCTCAAGGTGTGGTGAAATTGGTAACTTTGTCAAACTTGTAAAATGACTTTCAAAGTTATGGTCTTTCTTTACTAAAGAGTAAAAACCATGAAACTATTCCTGTAATATAATACTCCTTAAAGTAACAGCATTTTCCTTCAAAAATGTAGTTTTCATTCTTTATGATAGAAATAATTTAATACTCACGATGATTTAATAGTTAATGTATCTTAAGATATTCCTATCACTGGTCTTGTCTTCATTTGATCATATCATCCATATACCACGTAAGAAAAAAAATAAAGCGTGGTAACTTTTTTTGGTGGGGTGGGTGGGGCTTACTTATTTGAACTGACATGGCGATAGAGAAAGATTTTATTATAGAATTATTTATTTCAGGGGTTGATCTGCTGCACACCAGCATGAAATATTTGTTATAATATACTTTGAACATATTTTTTATATAACATGCATTTTAAACTACCAAGTGATGTTTCAGACAGAATATATACCAAATGCTCCTGGCTGCAGGAGCACCTCATCACGCTAAACTTCCTGCCACAGAACCAACTTAATTTGGAGTGCTCACCAACTCCTGTAATATTAGGTGATTAGGCTTTGTGTCCTTTCTGAAAAACAGTCTTAAACATTTTGGCTTGGAATTGTGAAAGGAAAAGATGCTGGACTGGTGGACAATCTCGTAACTGAACTGTGTTTCCAGTTTACAGGGAATTCCTTCCCAAAGTGGATCTAACATTTAGCTCCAACTAAAGCAATCATATGGTAAATGTACCTGGACTATGTTGGTTTAATTGTTTTTCATCACAAAATTGAGTCACTGTGGGGCAAAATTCTCAAACCCCACTGGTAATGAAGAGATTTTTACAGTCCTATGGCTACTTTGTTTAGAAATGGGATACCGTTGAACTTGATCACTGTAGTTCATTTTTGCTTTTAATTGTAGGATTTGGAAAAAGGTTTTTGTTAATTGAAGACGAAGAGAAAAATATTACTTCATGAAGGCACACCCATGCTGAACTTACAGGAAAGAGAAGCAGAGCCGCACAGCCAGTTATATTACAAGGCTCATTCCTGAAACCTGAAGATCATGCGAGCAGAAAAAATCTAGATATGTATTTATTTTGAAGAAATGATCTGAAGGCAATATTATTTGCTTTTTTATCAAAAGAGAGAAAAAAAACGTATCTTCGTAAATGTGGATTGATTCTCATTGAAACAGGGAAATGAATGCTTGTATTGCAGCCTTAAAGAATCACATAGTCACTGCAATATTCGTTTTTGTAAACTACAGCCTGCCACCTAGCAGACCATGACTGAATGCTTTTGAAAAGTTGTAGATTACAAACATGAAATCACAATTAATATCCTCTAAAAGTAATTTCAGAGCCTTCACATCTTAAAAAAAGGACAGTGTGTACTGCTTCACAAGGTAATGTAGCTAATCAAAAAAAAAAAAAAAAAAAAAGAGTAGAATGAAAGTATTTACATAATGAGCAATTCTACAGAAGGCCATCATCCCCACGTAAGCACTGCTGATCACATCCCACGCTGTTCTAACAAACTGCACCAGATTGGAGCCAGCCATCAGCACTTTCAGAGAATTCGTAAAAGCCTTTTATGGGTCTTTAAATTTATTGTAGAATGGCATTCTTCAGGTAGAATAGGCTGGTGAAAGAGGACAGTGTCAACACAAGGTACCAGCAGGGGAAAAGAACGTCGGCGCTCCCGGTAATTCCATACTGGGCCGTGCTTGGAGCTGGAAAGAAATGGAAAAGACTAAATCAAAATCTTATTCGTGACTTTCAGGATCTTAACGATAATCAAAAGGCAGCTGGGTATATTGTGGGGCGCACTGGCATCGGAGTCAGACAGACTTAGGTTCACTTCTGGCTCTGCTGTAGGACAATGTATGACCTATTCAATGAACCTTTCTGAGCTTCATTTTTCTCAAGGGAGAAACAGAGATGCTATAATCCCCTTGGCAGGGCTGCAGTGAGAATTGTGGATAAAGCACATATAATGCATTGTATTGGAATGAACATATGCTAATTACTTAAGGTATTGCAGCTAACATCATTCTTATATGCACTATAAAAATTTGTATTAGTGAATAATATTCACCAATGCATATTTTTAATGTTTTTATTGAGATAAAAGTGATGTATAACGTAAATTTAAGGTGTACAATGGTGTTGATTTCGTACATTGATGTATTGCAATAGTATTACCATCATAGTGTTAGCTAAAATCTCTATGATGTCGTAAAATTATCATTTCTTTTCTGTGGTGGGAATAATTAAGATCTAGCCTCTTAGCAACTTTGAAAGTTATAATACAGTATTGTTGACTATGATTACTATGCTATGCATTGAATCTCTAGGACTTCTTTAAGAGTTCCAAATTTGTACCCTTAAACAGCTTATCCACAATTCCCCCACCCTCAGCCTCTGATAAACACTGTTCAACTCTCTATTTTTACAAGTTCAGCTTTTATAGGCTCAACATATAAGTGACATTATACATATATATGCACATATATTTGTGACTCTTTTTTATTGGCAAAATGCTGTACTAAAGGCTGTAAAAACAAACAGATTCAACAATTTTTTTTGGAAGTGATAAAAGATATTAAAAAATATAATATATTCCTAGGAACATCAGAGTTGCATGTGCACACTGCAGTGACAGAATTTGTGTAATTAAATCCACCTGAGCAAGGGAGGAATGATTTAACAGAGAGTTTTACAAAGAGGATGGTCATTGGGTAAAGGAAACAACATATTCAAAAGCATGAGGAAAGAGAGAGCACAACATATATTCTAGGATCTAAAAGTAGGTGAGTATTGCTGGACCATGAAGATTGAGGCCTGAAGTCAAGGGAACTGAAACCAGAACTCTAGACTGATAGAATGATCTTGATATATTTTTAAAAAAGAGTTTAACTCTTTATAATAAAGGAGATGTTGAAGAATTTGGAGCTGTTAAATTGTATGGCTACATTTATTTCCACAGTAGAAAAATCACAGTTTTATACACGAGAAGTTCATGTGATACGTGGCTAACACACATGTTGAATTTTCACTGAGAGACTTCACCTAGAGATTCACCAAGCTTGGGATATTGTGGGAGTCTACTGAACGAATTCCACTTCATTACACAAGAGAACAGTTGTCTCTGCGAATGTGTGTTATACTGTGTTCCAGAAATTCAGTGTTGCAGACATGCTCAGCCTTGCCTGAGACTGATTCTCATTTACCATTATAATTATAACAGTAGCAATAAAAAAACAAACAAACAAACAAACAAACAAAAAAACTCACCAACATACTTTTAACTACTTTTTCTTAATGAAACCTGGTTTTCATGCTCTGTTTTCTAATACAAAATAAATAATGTAATAAAAATATATTATTTCACCCCCGAATCCATAACTCAAATCCAGGAACAGTTTTAGTCACTGAGTTTGAATTACCAGCAGGTAGTTTTTAATGGAACTTTCACCAATGACTATATTTCCATGTTACAAGAAGAATAAATTACTTTGTTTATACCTTTAAGAAATTAGAGGGGATAAAAGATGCATTGGCCCCTGCCAGTGGGAAGTTTTCTTCACAGTACAAATTGTTGGTTCCAGGTGAGTGAGATTCAGGGGCCGAGACTACTACTCTTTAGTAAACACAGAGCAAAATCTACTATTTAATGCTTCTACTTGCATCACAAATGAGTCCTAAAGAATGAAAGGTGATGAAGAAAATAAGTCTACATCATTGAACAGACAGCTTTTCAAGTTTTGATATGTAAGAAGTCTACTATAAAACCACACAGCTCCTTGAATTATTTTCTCTTGTTCAAGACCTAGAAGGATGTTGTACTTTTAAAAATATAAGTAAATATTTAATTGCTCTGTTGCCTTCTCAATGACAGCTATTTTTGCTGTTGTTTTTTAAAAAATCTCAAGTGCAATACAACCAGTATAACAGTAAAGAACTAATAAACAAAATGTATAAAATGATTTCATAAATAAGAAACAAATCTTAAAAGCCAAGCACACAAAGCAAAGATAAAATTTTATTATCTTGACTAATTAAATAGTACATTAAGTGGGTAGAGTGTAAAGAACCCTCAAAACTTCGTGTCCATACTTTAAAATGCATTTGGGAGGCAATCTTTTCTAAATCTTCTCCAACAAGTTGAGATTACCTTAGTGTGTCATTAGGCCACCGTACATATTCCTTTTTATACAGCTATAATACTGCAAATATTTCTACACATATCTATTTTATCAGATTGTAAACTCTCCTTGTGGTTCATGTGCTTTGTTTTTTTAAAAAAAATTTTTCCTTTATTGATTTTAGAGAGACAGGAATGAAGAGGGAGAGAGAGATAGAAACATCAATGAGATAAAACATCTATTGGCCGACTCCTGCATGCCCCCCACTTGGGATTTGGCCCATGCCTGGGCATGTGCCCTGGCCAGGAATCGAACCGGCAACCACTTGGTGCGTGGTTCAATGCTCAACCTCTGAGCCACACCGGCTGGGCCTGGTTCATGTGTTATATATGTTGGTGTTTCCAGACACAAGGTCTGGTACATATGCTTAAGAAATGTCTGTTTAATAAACAGTTGAATTCAATAAATAAGTAGGTCAGAATTTAAAAGGGTATTTCTTTCATAAAAAAGAAATTTTTTTCCTGAACCAAGCCATTTGCCTGTAGGCTAGAAAATTTTCAGTATACCTCTTCTATTCATTAAGCAAATATGTACTGAATTAGATACTAGGCACTGTATTAAGTATTGGTAATACAAAAGCTAATATGATAGATATGGTCCTTATGCTACTTAATTACATATATGGCCATATATACTCTACATACTCCTTTTTATCATGTACCTTCAATGCCATCTTTTTATCCAATGTGCCTTTACCTTCTACTCAGCCTCCTATTGTCTTAGACATGACAAAAGTATATCAATAATATATGTAAACATTAAATGCAACTGCAATTAACAGTATATATATCCATTGATGTCTCAAATTGATATACTTTTTAGTTTTGTGACTGCGATACTTCTATTAGTCCTAAAATAAAGTAGCACACTGTTGCTGCATTATGATGGTGTAATTACTATAAGAAATGGACTGCAAAATAACTATTGGCAGTTCATAGGCCAAAAAACAAAGAATAAATGTCATCAAGGGAGTGGAGTGTGAGGTCAAAATCTAATGCCAAATTATATAAAATGATTCATATTTCCTTAAGCATATATTGATGATTTTTATGTGCTGGGGATTGAACACAGGTAAAGATGAATAAAGTTAAATCTCCTATTTTAGGAAAGTTTTATTCAAGTTGGATAAGTAAATAAAAATGCAAATACAGAACATTGTGATATATACAGTGAGCGAACATGAGAGGGCTCTCTGGAGTCATGGTAGGTAAGTAGTTGGGCATCAGATACAAATAATTATTTTTTTAAAATGCAGCGATATACACATGTTAGTACATGTATATCTCACTTTTTTAAATGGTGGCCTGTGGTTCACTGACTAGGAATATCCTATGACTATATTACCTTAGTTCCATTGACTGGTATTCATAGTTTTGGGGATTTTTGTTGTGAATTGTTAACTCAGTGATTTAGAGCACAGGACTAATGATACTAAACTTAGGAGTCTCAGTACTATTTGGACTAATTATATTTGCTTGGCATGTTAAATCCCAATCAGCTATATAAGAAATTATAGAAAATCTTAAGAAATTATAGAAAATAACTGTTAGCTATAGTAATCAGCTTTTAAAAAGTAGCTTCAAGACTCAGTTAAAATATCCTCTTCTTTAAAAGAGAAAATTCTTTATAAAATCCCACTTGCCAAATTAATTTGGCATCATATTTTGTATCTTATTTACATATCTATCACATCATATTTATATATCGATTTTTTCTCATTAGACCAAGAATGTCTTCAAGCCAAGATTTATTATATATATATATCTTTATTGTTGGTACAAAACAGAGTCTGGCACTTAGCAAATATTTAATAATATTTGTTAAATGATGATAAGGTTTGTAGCCACTTTTCTTACTGTCACCATAAACATATAAGGAAATACAATACCTTGAGTACTTTTCTCAGAAGAATATTACTTTCACCGTTCAGATTTTACCTTCTGAGACGTGTCAGAATACTTCCCTTTAACATTTGAGCAAGAAGATAGACCACAAGGCAACCTACATAAGGGAAGAGCATGCATCCAACTTTGTAGCATTATCCTTTTGCAGCAAAAGACAGGGAGTGTAGATGAACCTGGAGCCCTAGATATACTTCTGAGTTTCTTAGGAGATAGCCAACTGTGCCTTTGGGATGGTCAGATCTTTTGTATGTTCTTCACCATGTTTTTAGTTGCCTGTGACTCTCATGCTGCTTCTCATCCTAAGCATGTATGACTCTCATACATGCTTCTTATGCTATGTACTATTAGAGGCAAGAGGAAAAGCCTATGTTAGCCTGAAACCTTCAGGGGTCTCCACTGACTACCAAAGGAAACCAAGGCTCTGTAGTTCAGCATTCAGGACCTCTGTTATCTGGCTCTAGTCAACTTATCCAGACTCATACACACTCTTAGCTCCAGTCACATGAACCATTTTCTGAATGCATGGAGTGTTTTTACTACTCTCTTTCATTTGCACATTCTATACCCTTAAGCTTAAATGGTCTTTCTTTCTATTCCCCTTGTCTATCTATCAAAGTCCTA